TAGGTAGCTATATTTGTACACGTTTCTTACCCTGCGGTACCGGTTACACTCTAAATGCAGCGACTGAAATATGCGAGGACGATGACGAATGTCTTCTTGGTACACACGATTGCAGTGAAGGTTATCACTGTCGAAACACTCTTGGTTCTTATCGTTGCGATCGGAATCTACGAGTAACAACTCCTCAGGCTCTTGTCGCTACGACGACTTCGACAACTACTACGACAATGACACCATTTTCTGTGACTCCTAACGTTCCACCTGTTAATTGTCCACGCGGTTTCGAATCTTCTGGAAATAAGTGTATAGATATCGATGAGTGTCAGAGAGTGCCGAATCCTTGTGGTAGGACCATGCAACGTTGCGTCAACACTATTGGCTCGTACAAGTAAAGATCTGGTTTGTTTTAAATGGTTCATTTTTTTGTTCAATCATTAAATAGTAAATATCATTTTAAGATGTATGTCGAGAGTGATCTGTGGTAATGGATTCACTTTGGATTCTACGACTGGTCAGCACTGCATAGATATAGACGAATGTGCTGATAATAGTCACGAATGTTCACCTGAACAGATCTGCGAGAATAGGCAAGGTGGATACGTTTGCAAATGTCCACCTGGACATATTGATGGTCCCAATAAAGATTGCGTTGATATCGACGAATGTAGTATTTATGGGAGTGGTATATGTGGCTTGAATAGTCGTTGTGAGAACACTGTTGGTTCGTATCGATGTTCTTGTGATACAGGATTTGAGAACATTGTCGGTATACCTGGTGAAATGTGTCAGGTAATTTTCTTGATCTTTCTTTGTGTTTCCTTATGATTTACGTGTTTTTCTCAGCGAATGTCAACTTTCCAGGATGTCAATGAATGTCAACGAACTCCAGGATTATGTCAACATTATTGTATGAACGTTTGGGGTAGCTATAGATGTGGCTGCAAACCAGGTTTCAGATTAAATGCGGACAATCGTTCCTGCACCGATATAGACGAGTGTGAAGAGTTCAAGGAAAATAATCTTTGTGTTGGTATATGCGAAAATACGCCAGGTAGCTACGCTTGTAAATGTCCCGATGGTTATAAACTCGGCACCGATGGTCGAGCGTGCCAAGGTAAGAAAAAAATGCTGTGCCTTTTATTTACATAAAGAGAACTTAATGTATGGAACATAAAATGTCGTTTAAAGTGTTCGATACAGAACATTTAATAAAAGGCTCATTCTAAGATGAAACATGTCGATTAAATCAGAGTTAACAAGTCGTCGGATGTCAAATTGTCACGCAATATGACTTTTTTTAAGAATATAACGAAGTTTGAAACAGTTGAAGGAGTCGTGTTGCTTAAATGTCTCGTATACATTTGATTACCCACTAACAACAATTTCTTAACTTCGCAAATAGGCGACGCGAATTGTACTTGACCTATAAGCGGAAGAACTGGGGCGTCATTCGAATCACGAGGAAGAAAAAGAGAAAGAGAGTGTGATTATACTACCCACGCGACGTTATGTGTCATACAATCGCGTCATACAATCACGTTGTCAGTCGTCAACGCTTTGCTTCTCCTTTAATCGCATTAATTTATTTCTTTTATCGTTTTTTCCA